ACGGAGAGCTAGCGAAGAAACCCGGTGATCCTAAACCGCCATCATCATCACCCATCACCGAGACCAGCACCCCCTCATTCCCCCAACCTGCGACCACCACCACACCCACGGGTGGCCACGCCCTCCGCCCAAAACGCCCAACCTTCTTGCCAATCAAGAACCATGCTCGTCCCGCTCTCTCGTCCAATGACAAGCAGTCCCCGAGCCGTGTTGGCAAGGGATTGGAGGAGAGAACGCATGAGTCCCTCTCTCTTTATGCGAGCACCAATCAGAAAGCACATCCTTCCTCGGCACTCAACAGCCTGCCCAATAGCATGTACCAGTTTCCAGCAGGTGCGAGGTTGCCCACTTTAGTCCTTTCCTGGTTATAGTATTTTTTTCTTAATTACTGCATGACCTAGAATTTGCACCCCTTTCTTGCTGTTATATGCTGTTTGCTTATGGTTAAAGGATTTTAAAGCCATTAGTAAAATCTAATACCTGCTAATAGCTAAGATAACGCCATAATGTAACTAATATTGTTAAAGTTTCCTTGATGCTGAATACAGGTAATTGCTATATTTTTTTCCATCAAATCTGGTAGTTAATGCAAAGTAAGGTTATTGATATAAAAGTTTATGCTGTGCATCTTTTTTATCACATTGGGTAATTTGTCTACGAAGCTTATTACTTCAGATAACATATCTTGTATATACTGAAAGAACAACCTGCTTAATCTTGGTAAATAGTGAGGAGAAGAGTTCAGAGGTAATAATATTTAATCCCAATTGATGTTCTTTCATTAACAAGGTAGTCTGTCTAAGCGTCAGATATTATGTATATGAACACTTCTAGGCTGTACATAAAGGCAAAAGATTCTTAGAAACAGCTAATGCACCAGTTCCTTCCTGAATGGTTCTAAAACTCATAACACCCTTACCAATCCAACAGTGGCGGCCTCATCGTCGCAGGCACATACCCCGGGCGCGGGCGGGGGCACAGGCGTGCCTGGGGGTGCATTGGTGACCTCGGCATCAACGCCCACCGCGGCCACCACCAGCGCCCCCACCACCACCACGACCGCCTCCGCCTCCGCTCCCGAAGCCTCGTCCGCCACGACGGTCGCCCGCAGGAACAAGGCTGTGTATGGTGAGTACTCTTTCCTCCTAACTGGCGCGAGCGCCTTTGTCAGACGTTTGTTGTTTTTGTGATGTTTATGAGTTCTTGCGTTTGGTTGGGGCATTTTACATAGTGTGATGCTAACCGTTGAAATGGATCGCGTCACCGCTGATATGTTATAATTTTTAGTGTTAGTACTCTTGGTGCCATAATCATTGCTGTTCCCGAGGGCGGTGTCATGTTAAATCGATAAATAATGCCGTAACTTTAACCCTAAAGAGAAAAGAAACAGAGGAGATGGCTAAAACATCTGAAGACACACGATCATTCCTTCTATTTCCCTACAAATAACAAACTAATGGAAATATGACAAATATAGAAGCGGTTACGGAGGCGCAGAGTGTCCTGTGGTAACATTGCAGAGTTGCAAACACGACTGCCTGCGACCACACCTCAAGCCGGGTAAATGGATTGCACGGTCTTGTGACGCTAACAGGTTCCGGTATCTTGAATGTGGCCGGAGCGCCGGGCAATCGACGAGAGCCAGCGAGTTTAGAGCAGGATCTTGAGTGCTCATTAAGAACTTGATCGCACTCGCTCGGATGCCTGCCTGCGCGAGGGCCCGAGCGCAGGCAGTCTCAGTCTCCTGAGCGGTCTGGGGATGGCGGTGGAGAAGTGGATAGGGATTTAGGGTTTTCTCCTTCGATCTTTTTTCCTTTCCCGTTCTTTGTTTTTTTCTCTCTCTTTCTTTCTTAATTTCGACTTGTTTTTCCCACTCTTCTTCTTCTTACTTTTTTACCTTTTTTTTTCTTTTGATATCTTTTTCAAGTGTTTCCATTTCATTCTTTTCCTTTCCAAACCCCCTTTCTTTCTTTGTGTTGAATTGCATTTCTTTTTTCCTTTGTCTTATCTATTTTATATATATATTTTTTTTCATCACGCTCTCTGCCTTTATCTGATTTCTTTAAAAATATTTTTTCGTCTCACTCTCTGCCTTTATCTTTATCTCTATATTTTGATTCTCTTTGTGTCTCTTCCCTTGATATCTCTTTTCATACTTCGGTGTTCCTTATTTTTTCTTTTCTTTTCTTTTCTTTTATCTATTACACTTTTCCCCCGTCTCTCTCTCTCTCTCTCTCTCTCTCTCTCTCTCTCTCTCTCTCTCTCTCTCTCTCTCTCTCTCTCTCTCTCTCTCTCTCTCTCTCTCTCTCCCCCTCCGTCTTTATCTCCATCTCTATTTTCTTAAATATTCTGAATGTGCCTCCTTTTTTATCTTTTATTTTATATCTTATTTGGTTGTCATTCGGTCTGCATTCTTTCATATTGCTTCATAATGTCTTTCATATCTCATTTACCCTTTCATGAAGCAATTTGCCGTTTAATTGATTTCATTATATATCGTTGTCATTAATTAATTTTATATTACTTATTACCCTCGTCCGACTTGCTTCTCTGTATAAAAATTCTGTGAGTAACTAATTCTGTGAGTAACGTCCCGCACGCAAATGCCGGGAAAAAGCCTCCGTATTTGTTCAGCTGAGTCAAGGAGAAAAGGAAAGGAATATGAGGAAGGGGAGGGTAAGGGAAGGACGCCACTGATGAAAAAGGTCGTGGGGGACCGTAAAGAAGGCTTGGATAACCTTTTTTTATTCTGCCTTTAATAAAAAAAAAAAGATATATATATCTCAAGCCTTTTTCGGCATTTTTTTTTTCTTTTTTTTTAAGGGGGGGGGAGTAGTGGCCGGCGGGGTTTCCGTAACTGGAAAACTTGAAGGAGCGGATCGAGAGGACGAGATCAGGAGGAGAACGCCAGGAGGATGAAGGCGCGGGTGATGGGGAAGGGGGGGGGGGGGTCCTGGCGGCAGATTGACAGATCCAGAAGGACACTTAACCTGGATCTTGGGAAGTATTTGTTCGCTTAGAAGGGTCGTAGTGGTTTTGTAAGCGTGAAGTGACAGGTCTTTGAGATGCCCCTAGGGAGAAATAAATTATTTGTGGTTATCGCTTTTAAGTAACTAAACCGTCGACCCCCACTTAATACTAGCAGTTACACACGGTTATGTCATCCTTTCATTTTTTTCGCAATCATGGTCTTCACTGTACTGAATTTCCTAACGCAAATCATAATCCTGTGTGGTGGTTTGTTTCGAATTTACTCTGAGGACTCGCGGTGCACTTTCACCCGCTGGCTGTATGTACACTGGGGCACCTGTGGCCAGGGAGGGCACACACAACGCACGCCGAATCAGGAAGATTGATTGTCTTAAAACGTTAGTAGTTGATGAGCAAATAAAAAGGGCCCTCACTGCAGTGCATTAGGTGTGAGAAAAGTGTGATTGTGAAGATAAAATGAAAGAATCCGTCAATTACAAAAAAATGATTTAAAAGAGATAAGACGTCAAATATAATGTGCATTGTTATGATGGAAAGTAAGTTGCCATATTAGGTGCAATCAAAGGTTAGAGCAGCGAATGTACACGGTCACTGTAATACAGGTTCTGTGTTGTTAATAGACCGGCATATTTATATAGCATGTTTTGATATCTTGATACAAGGCAGTGAAAGTTCCATTATTAAAGAAAGACACCGTAATAGCATGGATAAGGGAACGGGAAGAGGAGAAAATCAGAGAGGAAGAGGGAGGTTGTCTCTTGCCCCAGGGAGGGGGGGGGATGAATAAAGATAAAACGTGAGAAACAGGCGCAGGGCGAGAGGGACCTCTGGCGGTCGTTTTAAGGCGGGGGTGGTGGTGCTTCCGTAGGATATCGCGCCGGAATCCTGCCGTGAGGTTCCCGCGTGGCCAGCTTGAGACTGAACTAGTCTCACGTCTTGTCGTTCTGCTGGTGACTAAGACACTTCTCGTTCGTCTGTCTGTGTATGTCTGTCGGGTGGTGTTTTTCGTGTGGGCTGGCTATGGCGCTCCGGTAGAAACGCAGGTAATGGGCTTATTTATAACACTACTGGGGAAACGCTTGTAAATGCAGGTTGCCGCAACTGTAAAGTTTTGGCTATTCTGTTAAGTCGTTGCTCTCCAGGTCTGTGACTAAAAAAAATAAATGCTTGCCTTCGTATATTCCTATAATCATGTATATGAACTTTACGATCGACTAATACAATTTCTTGTCAGTTTTTAATGTTGGTGCCTTCTATATAGATGTACGGAATATGCCATTAGCAGGAAACTGTGAACAAATAATAGATTCTGCGAGTAACATCGGGAGCTGTAATGAAGGTGCCACCAGCAAGGTTGTGAATTACGAAATGTGATGGAGCACCACCCGAAGGACACCATAAAATACATGGTTGTGGAGTGACACTATATCCCACGTGGTGTTAAGGGACACCCTAATCCTCATGGTGTATAGGCAATCCTCGAGTTGTGAGGCGACACCATAGCCTTCATGGTGTTAAAGAAGACCATACCTTATGATATGAACCAGCACCATAACCTTCATGGTGTGAAGGGGCGCCACCCGCGGCCGACGCGAGTTGCCCGACCTGCTGGGCGTGTTGGGCACGACAATGTTCCCACCTCTCACGCTCGACCTGCACTACCGCCCGCCCGGACCTACCTGCGACTTACCCGGGTCGGCATGGATTTAGGTTAAGGGGAGGTGGAGGGGATAAGCGCCGACAAAGGATTTAGGAGATAAGACCAGGAGCGCGAAGTTGGGGTGGGGCGGCATGCGGCCGAGAGGCGGAGGCCGGGGGATTGACAGGGGGCGAGTGGCGGAGACGTGTCAGTTACCCCGAGATTCGTCGTCGTTTCATGTCGTTCTCTTTCGCAGTAGCCGGATTCTTTTCTTAGGTCTTTCCTGTTGTTGTTTATTTAGAAAGAGGTTGAAGGAGGATGTTGCGACAAAGTGAAGGGAAATGGACTGTCGACACCTAGTTCTTACAATGTAGTCTGAATTTCACATGTAAGCAGTACAGAGAGAGAGGGGGGGGAGGGGGGGGAATTGAGTGGCTTTGTTTATATTCATATTGTGGTTCACGTAATGTGCAGTTCTCTTGAGGCCGAAAGTGCAGAGGCCAAGGTACGCGCGTCCTCACGGGAACGAGCAACCGCTATTACTAGGTTTCAGAGGAAGGGGGCGAGGAGGTGCCAGGGGTTAAGGCTGCCTGTTGTCACGGGCACTCCAGTTTTTAGGTGTCACTTGACTCTTGCTTTCACGCCTTTATAGTAGACGAAAAGTCTACATCAATTGAAGTTGATTTGCACACCGCACTGCGAACGAACGAGAGAAAATAATGAAGTTCGCCTTGTAAATCCGTGATTCCAACAGCCGATTTGATAAGTGAAATATAATGCAAATAAAACGCACTTAATAAGCGCATTGCAAAAAAGCTCGACCTTCCCAAGGGTCTCGGGGAGGGCTGGGGCGGGGCAGGTGCATTTACGTCATCGCAAGGACCTGTTGGCATGTGGCCTCGCGTCGCCTCCGAACCCTGGGCTGGGAATGAGAGGGAGCCCCCTTGCCCTGCAAATGGTCTGATGCGGCACGTGCTAGCGCTGAGGGATTGATTAATGTACGTTATTAATCCAAATAACAAGCGTAAGTGTATGTACAAGAAGTTTCGGATTTATTTAGAATTCCGAGTATATCTTTATTCTTTCGTATCGTTCTTATACGTTTATAAGAAGTCGTAAAATATTCATTTCACGTTTGGTTATATTTATTGATTATATATATTTATGGAACAAGTATGAAATTCAAATATTGATTGTCTGTTTACAAAATTAGCTAGGATCTGTCGCCCTAAACGAGTCTTGTCAAGTTCTGCAGTTGACGTGTTGTTGCCTCGCTACCTGTTTAATAATTCATGGCAAAATGACAAAGCGTTGTCTGTCTTGCTTTGTACTATGTGAGCATGACTGTGTGAATTGATGTTGATTGCATCTCCATATTGATTACAGTATATAGGGTTGTTCCAGTCATTCACTCCGTTTCATATTTGTCTCCTCTATTCTTGTCGCTTTCTTGCTTCTTATATTTTGTTTTGTTGCAATCTTTCTCTCTGTTTTCCGT